TTTAGAGAGATTCACTTAAGGTGAGATCGTAGTTCAACAGTAAAACTGATACAAGTTGGATAACTCTAAAAATTGATAATTGTTGGTCGGTTACAGTAAAATCATACATATCTTGATTTAATCTGGCTCGTCCCCACTTATACCCTCAAAGTTAAAACTTCATTGTAGGCTTCTTTGTTCACATAAAAAAAAATTAGGTCTTGCAAGCTGGATAAAGTAAATATGAGATGCAGGTTAGTCCCAAAATAAACTAGCTTGGCTTTTATATAATTGAACCAAATTGGACAATTTTACTTAGACGAGTCAATTATGTGATTCTTGTTTGCTAAACACACCTCTGATATGCATGGGCCTATTCCAATTTAATGGCATATGACCGCCAATTTTTTTTTGAGTGGAAGTCTGTAACCATCTCATTGTTCTAAGAGATTATTCGTTGAGCTTACATTTGAGTTAACTATAGTCCTTTGGTGTTTTTTGCTTGTTTAGAAGAAATGCATAAAAATTGTTTGGCCTCTCCCTTCAACAACAGACATAAGAAACAGATAAACAGCTACCGCAGGGTAGGAAGAGGTTGATAAGAAATGTGGAAATTTTTAGGAAAAGAACAAGTGAGGAACTCAACAGAAGTTGAAGTTTAATTTGGATCAAGGTTACTTGCATCTCACCAACTTATCCATCTTTCCAAAACTTAGATATGCAGCAACAATATTCACATGCAGTAGAAGAGCTAAAAGGCCACATTTGAATGAGCAAAAAGCAAAGTAGAATAAACTCCTATAATTTTGTTTATTGATTTGCTCAAGTTTCCTTTATTATAATTTTGTTTATTGATTTGCTCAAGTTTCCTTTATTAAAAGGACTGCCATCATTGCTACATAAGCCAACATTAATTATTGAAGTTATGGCTTGCTACAACAGACAAGTGCAGAAACCTTCCAAACAGATGAAAAAGAATTTAATAAAATGGCATCTACTTGAGTGCCCAACTAACGCAGGGCTTTGGAGAGGACCCCTTCCTCCTTTCCCTCCTTTCCTTTCCTCCTATTCCCTCTTCCCTTCCTAGCACTTGTCAATTCTAAATTTCGATTATTTTTATTATTATTTGTCTATTTTGAATTCTTACTATTATAAACATTGTCTAAATTATGAATTCTTATTATTTTTGTTGTCTTCCTTGATTTAAAACATTGCCTATTATATTTTATTTCATAATTAAAAGCATTGCCTAATATAAGTCCTAATCCCTTCTATATATAGAATTTTTTTTGCTTAGGTGAGGAGGTCTTTTGTTGCTTAAGAATTCAGCGTTCTATTTGGAAAACCACCGACGTCTTATTTTCCCCTTCGAGGGTTGTATTTGAAGGCAAGGAAGTGCTATGGCTATCCCTCGTCCTAGGTGGTGACTGTCTCCAAGGTTCCGAGTGGTGCTCCAGCTATAGCTCAACCTGGAGGAGGCATTTATCTTGCCATATGTCCATTTTCCTACTATCATTCTATCATTCCAGCCACCGCCGCTCCTTCATTCCCGTTGCCAATCACCGGCCTACCCTCATCACGGGCCTGCCCTCTCCTGCTATTGCTGCCACCGCAGCCCTCTCATACCACTGCCTCGTAATATTTTTCCTCATCATCTCCCGTGGATATCTTTTGTTGTTGTATTTGTTTGTCGGTATTTCTTACTTTCCAAATGTCGTATTTGTAAGCTCTTTCAGTTCAGCAATAATATTGTGTTTCTTTTGTGGTTTAAGCTTCCTCCTTCATTATCATTTGGTATCAGAGCTAGTCCAACCCTAGTCCTAACCTAGGGTTTCCTAGTGTCCTCCATACCCACAAAAATTCCTTCCTACCATCCAATACCCGTTCCACTGCCACATGTTCTTAAGCCTAATTCCCCTAGCTGATTTTTAAAATCAGCAACCTTGACCCAATTATTTTTTTACCCTCTTTCACCTCCACTAATTTTTTTTTCCTTTCTATTCCTAAACCCTAACCATTTCACCATTGAGATAAATGCCCAAGCCTTCTCGGAAGGAGATACGGCGAGAGATCCGTGGTGGATTACAGACATAGAAGATGAAATCCAATTAATACTACTCTCGATCGTGACTAAAAGGTCGAAGTGGGGACGAGAAAACATAAAGATGAAGTAGAAAACACAGTGTTAGTTCCTATCAACTTACAACAGCTAAAAGTCGCTGACCTAGCTTCCAAAGTGGAGAGACCGCATCACCAAGCGTCCCCCTTGCTACTATCCAACGAAACCAATCAGCAAAACTGTCACAGCCAAAAAATGTTGCAAATGCCACGGCTTTGGATAGGTTGAAGCAGAATGCACGACCAGGGGAATGATCTACTTCACCGAGCAGTGTGTCATCTAATAGTTGGGTAACGACACCGCAGGTACTAAAGTCGGTGATGACATAAACGAGAACCGACTTCCAGTTGAACAGATAAACGGCGATGCAGAAAGAGATGCATACTTCAAAGAGGATCCACAATTGTCAACCACAAGGAAGAGACGCTACCAATTCTAGTTGACCTCAAGATATAGATTCCAGCTGAAGTAACAGTAGCCATTTGAGAAGGTTGTGGCCTTGATGTAATCGGCATTCATACAGAGGATGAAGTGGTGGTATCCTGAGCTACGGTTTCACAAACTGTGAGAGAAACATCAGCAGGACTAACTTGGGATATCCAAAAAGGGCAGGAATTTGAAGAGCCGACCACCAATACAGGGCCACCACAGATCAGGGCATTGCAGATTTTTTAGATGTATAGACCCCTTCCTAAGTTACCCTTACAAAGGGAGGTCCAACAGACCAGAAGTGAGGTCATTTTGTGTCATGTTGGAAATATTATGAGGGATTATTCAGAGGTTATTTTCACAACATTGTACCGATCGCTAGATGTTCTAATAGAAGAGTTGAGTCCCAACTTTGAAATGGGCCCTTGGAGCTTAATGAAGAAATTCTTTATTGGATCCAGGTCCTATCAGTAAAGAGGTCTCTTCTGAGGAGGTGTTAATAAGTTGAGTGTAGTCTGACACAAATGTCATCCCAACACTGATCTCTCCTCCCATAACAGTTCTTCATCTACACTCAGCCGATTGTGAGGAATGGAAGAAGTAGCTTATCCTTAGAATGGCTCAATTGAGTAATGAGAATACTCCTCTACCTACAGTTCTATCTCAAGGCGTGCTAAAGGTGGAGGATACCTATTTTACCAAAATGTGTTTTGGAACGACGATGCCTAGAAGATTGACCTACCAGGTGACTGCATCATTTCAGCCATGTTTGATGTCGCAGATCTAACATCATACTTGAGGATCCGGAAGCTTCGTAAATGAGAACGAAGCTCCCCCAACCCCAGGAGACTGACGAAGGGCTTTGGAGAGGAACCGATCAGTCCTAAGGGGGGAAGGGGGGGTGGTCTGCCCCCCTTTCTCCCTCTTCCTTTTTCTCCTTTCCTTTCCTCTTAATCCTTCTTTCCTTTTTTCATCTTTCCTTCCTAGAACTTGCCAATTTTGAATTTAGATTATTTTTATTAGCTTTTGCCTATTCTGAATTATTCCTTTTATAAATATTTTCTAAATTATGAATTCTTATTATTTTTAATCTTTTCCTTATTTTAAAACATTGTCTATATAAATTCTTGCCTATTATATTGTATTTCTTAATTAAAATGATTGCCTAAAATAAGTCATAATCCCTCTTATATATAGAGGTTGTTTTGCTTAGGGGAGGAGGTCTTTTGTTGCCTAAGAATTCATCGTTCTATTTGGACAGCCAATGGCATCCTATTTCCTCTTTGAGGGTTGTATCCGAAGACAAGGAAATGCCCCGGTAGTCCCTCATCCTAGGTGGCGACCATCTCTAAAGATCCGAGTGGTGCTCCGACTATAACTCGACCCTAATGAGGTATGTATATTGTCGTACGTCCGTTTTCCTACTATCGTTCCATCATTCAAGCCACTGTTGCTTCTTCCTTCCTGTTGCCAATCACCAGCCTGCCCTCATCCAACCCCTCCTGCTCTTCCCCCGTAGCTGTCCAGCACTCCTCCCACCCATCGCAGCCCTCCTGTTCTTCCCCGCACCTGTCCAGTACTCCTCCCACCATTGCATCCCTCTCCTATTGTTGTTGCCACCGCACTCGTCCTCATCGTCCAAGTATCATGTTCGTGCTCTTTCAGTTCAACAATAATATTGTGTTTCTTTTGTAGTTTGAGCTTCCTCCTCCAGTATCATAAACGCTCATATCACATGATGATTGTTAACTAATCCTCACCATCAGCATTTGCTTATCACAAATACTCAGCAAATATTAATTAGCTTTTCTTAGGGAAATTTACATACCTAGCACACAATTCTTAAGTATTTACATTTACATATATAGCACTTAGTGTTTTAAACCTATGCATGAAAAAGATGTACTTCATTTTTAAAAAATTTATAGCAGTGATATTTTTATGTTATATTAATGATTTAGATGCTAAGTGTATAAATATGAAAGTTTAGGTGTGAGAGATGTAGATACATTATAATTATGTGATGTGTGTGTAAATGCCCCATTTTTTCAATATCTAGAAAGCGTCCTTGTCCATGACAACCACCCTCTTTAGACATAGCTGCTAAGAGTTGCATATCAAACATTCATGCTTCTAAAGATTTTAAAGTTACCAGAGACACGATTGATACTTCTACAATATAATTAAAACAAGTATCTTCAATATTACAACAGACAATCCAAACCTGAGCATAAAACTACAAGATTATTCTTCGTGCAATATCACAAGAAGATTCAGTTCGGCATACTGATTATATTTTTTTAAATTATGAAATAACCACAACGAGACTAGGTCTAGGAAGACACAAAAGACAGCAAATTCTAAACAGAGAGAAAACTAAAGATTAAAAATGAAGGAAGGAGTTTAGCATTTTTAAGCAAAATAAAAACTACAAAACATGTTAACCGGCAAAGATAGTCGTCCAAGGGTATACCTCTCAACCAAGGTCGAATAGCTTAATGGGAGCGACTTGCCATCATCATCTTCATCTCCACTTCGCACACCACTCCTGGAATACCAAGCATGGTATCTTCTTGGTAAAAGTTGGTGCTCCAAGAGCTCATTCCAAAACTGTCCATAAGTCCTCTTACATGGACTTGCTGATAGAAAATGCATGATTAAGAAATAAACTTCCCTTGGGTCTATATCTACATGAGATTCCAAAGAAACACAGGATTTCATATCTGCCTCAGCAGAATTCCCCTTCTCAGGCATCTTTCTCACGAAATTCAAAGGTGCCAAGGCAGCAGAAGATGAATCACCAGAAGCTTTGTGCTTCCTGAGTGCCATGCTTCAAAAGATACCTGCAAGAAAACACAAGATACATGCACTTGAGAGAAAATGATCATATGGCCGAGATGTACATTAAAAATAAAAAAATAAAAGAAATACAGCAAAAGGTTGAGTGAACTGACCAAAAAAGATGCTTCTAAGATTCAGGACCTCTCGAGAAAACAAAAATTACGCCATAAAAATCATAATAATAATGAAGAAATAAGGATGGCCGCTTTGGTGCAATCACTGTTTAAAGTTAAATCTGCGCAATGTAAAGAATCACCTAAAAAATAAACCATGCATTATTAAATGTCACAATATGAAATATATAAATATTTAAAATATTTTCATGAGATTAAAAATCGCGTCAAAGATTTACCTTATCTTTTAAGTAAACGATTATTCTGGCTAACAATGGTTTCAAAATAGTCCTTTTTTTATTATACAATTTCAGACAGCAATCATTTTTCATGTTCCCTGGAATGATTTAACCATACAAAAATCAGACCAATTGATCAAACTTTTTACATGTTCCCTGGAGCGGTTTAACCATAAAAATATCAGCCCAATTGATCAATATCAAACTTTTAACAGATGCAGGGTCAAGTTTCTGAAAATTGATCTTTCATTGTTTCCATCCCCTTCACCGAACTAATGAACAAAAATTAGGTTCGACACATTAAACTAGTCCCGAAGAGATCATTCTAAAAAAGCCTATATAAATTAATTGCATTCTTAGACAAGTCAATGATCTTTTGTGTTTCCATAGAAACATAACCTCAGTTCTTGAAAGGCAGTTAAATTTGAATAAGATGGTACCACTATATTCTCTAGACCATGGTTAGCCAAATGTTTTGTTCTCTAGGCTTGCTTGTATTCCAATCTTTTAAATTATATTAGCAAGTCCAACATCCATGCATGTGCTTAATGAAACAATAAATACTTTGCAAGCGTTAATGGATCCAACTTATCCATTTAAGATTGTAAGGTTGGTTGAATAAACTTAGCTCAACTCCTCATATAGAAATCAATAAAATTAAAAGCCAATGAATCACACACATCATGGTGGACTAATCACTCTCGATATGAAATGAACGTCTAAGCTAAAAAAATCTTATATCAATGAAATGCAAACTATACTACAAGTTATGTCAAAGCCCTTTTAAAATATGCTAATATATGCTCCAAAATCCAGTAAACTCAAAGAAAAACAAGGCATCTCCATATTGCCAGCTATAAATCCGACAAGATAGTGTAATGAATGTCGAGATGTCAACAACAAAAATTAATTGATACCACATTTAATAGATGCTAGCGCTACTTAAGGTGATGTCCGGTTTAAAAAGTTAAGGAATGTGACTCAAATGCTCGATTTTTGAATTTGTTGTACAATTTTTTTTGCAAGTAATGATTGTGGGGAAGTATCAAGGCAGCAACTTGAAAGCAAGTCTAAGGACATGAATATTTGTTTTCCTATAACATTGCTAGTTTGGCTTTATATATGAATGTATATCCTTGTTCTAAAAATAACCAATTTTTAGTGGTTGAAAAAGAATTCTTACAGCTATTATTTCTACTACTTCTATATATCCTAAGCCTCTGAGTTTAGGAGGCGGTTCACAGGATATCGTAGTTAATTCTATGATTAAATTCAACAGCTTGATCTATTAATCATTCATTCTTTCCACTATATTCTCATTCATTTGGCTAAAGTTGTGCCCCGACCAATGAAATGTATATCAATGTTGGGTTAGTTTTGCATTCAAACTTCCTCCTAAAGACTACAACCACAAATTAACAATCCTGAGGAGTTTCTGCCGTAGCTGCAGTGTCATCTTGGTATGAGAGATTAGAAAAGAAGTTGCCCCAGCTGAAACCTTCATTGTCCTGTCCAAGAAATTGTGACCAAGGAATTGTACCAAGAAACTCGATATATGCAACAACATTCGCTATTTTCTAGCAAAGAAAACCTAGAGTTCAACATCTCACCAACACGATCAATATCGACATGTTCCTCTCGATGGTTCACCTCCCCTTTGACCTCCAGGATTCAAATAAGGAAAATTCACCCCCAACAACCTCTATATTGTGAATCAAAGAGACATCCATCAGAAGTTGGAATCAAAAAAGACAAACCTAACTTCAAAAGAAGAATGAATATTGACGAATTCATAAAAAAGGTGCATACACTAGAATGAGTCGAAGTTTGAAGGAGTGCCTCTTGTACAGATGGTCAAGCTCATTGCAATCAATTTGAAAAAGAATACATCAATGTGTGAAAAAATTTAACGTGTAATTGTTGTCAACACGAAATAAGCAAAATTTACCTAATCACTATCATCAAGATAATTTCATTAGTCAAAGAAAAGCTTCCAAAATAACAAAAGGGAAAGGAAACAAATGGTATAAGCAGCTATTAAATTCTCTACGCCGATGAAGGAGACTAACTCGTAATTCACTGACAGTTGAATGCTGACTACAATCATGAATGGTTGTGCTACAATATCTTCAACACCAGCTATATAGTTCAAATAAAGATTTGTAATTGCATCAGTGACAGTGTAAGTTGCGAGAACATTGTGTCCACAAGAAATTGAAAAAGTTATCTTACAACTTAAGAACATCCACATCCTTATAAGCTTTCCTAGTTTAGAGAAGGAAGCAAAATCAAGGTAAAGAAAGATAGTTTAGTTCATTATTTTATTGGCATAAAATTATAGAAGTATGATGAGACATAATTCCCATGGATGATTGTCAACTCCTACTGGGCAGACCATGATAATACAATCAACATACCATCCATGATGGCTTTAAGAACATTAACCCAATCAAAAAGGATGAAGAGTGAATCTTTTTTATGCCACTCAAAGTTGAAACTATCAAAGGAGTTAAGGAATAAATAGCAGTTTCTTGATTGATGTTCATACAAGCGTTAAAGGAGGCTACCATGGGCTATATTTTGGTAGACTTAGATAGGAATCAGAATATTCCACCACCACGTGTTCTTGCACAATCGTTATTAAATAGTCTAAAAACATACTAGAATTGGAAATACCTGCCAAATTTCCTGCTAGCTTCAGTATCTAATCGACCATATTATGTGGTTTGTCATTCCTCATTGACCAACTTATCATAAGACTAGAAAAAACAAAGAACTGCATATACAAGTCAATGAAAATATGGTCGAAGGTGTGGTTAACAAAATTGAAAGCCTATATGATGTTCCCGCATTTCTTGTACCAAAAAAGACACGTATTAGCACATATCTATTGATATCAAGATTGTAAACAAAATAACGATCTAATATAAGATTTCAATTTCTTGCAAAAATGATTTAATATACCAATTATGTGGATCATGTCTATTTTCAAAATTGACTTGAAGAATAGCTGCCATCAAATTCAAGAAAACAAGAAATAAAAGAAAGACGGTATTTAAAATGCAAGTTAGATTCTACAAGCAGGTCGTTATGCAATTCTAATTTCCCAACGCACATAGCACCTTTATGCAACTTATCAATCAAATTTTTTGACCCTTTATTGAAAATTTTTGTAGCAGTATAATTCGATGACATATTCATGTATAGTTGCACTCAAGACGAACACCAAATACACCTTTAAAAAAAATCTTTGAAACTCCCCGCGAGTAAAAGATGTTCGATAAACCAAAGAATAGTCCTTTTTTTTTTGCTAAAAAAATTAATTTCATGGGCTACATCATTACTTCAACAAATATTGAAATGGATCGCGAGAAGATTATGGCCATCCTAGATTATCTGATACCTCAATAATTTCCTTACGTGAGAATTTTTATGAAGTGGTGTCTTTCTATAATCGACTCATTAAACAATTCAGCACAATGGATGCACCCCTAAACAAACTACTCAAACATGAAAGTAAATTTCAATGAAAACTTGGAAGTGGATTGTAATGCTTCCAATGTGGCCATTCGTGTTGTCCCAAGTAAAGAAGGAAACTAGCCCATTGAGGCCATTACATGTTAGCTAACAAATTCTTTTTTTTCGACCATTAAACCCTAAAATATTTTCATAATCAAAACAAATTGAAAGGGAAAGAAGCCACTCGATAGAATTCATTTCATCCTTTCACTATATTCTGAAGCATAAATATAGAACTTTGTTGCTCTATAAATGAAAGCAATAGGCTTTGAAATAATAAAATATTTGTGTTCCATTGGATCCTAATTTCAAAGAAATTTGGTTGAAATATCAACAATTTCATTGTGGAAATGGCTAACTCTTCTTTGGAAATCGAGAAAGCATTCCAAAGGCATTCTTTGTGAGAAGTTGTTTACTCGAATGCCATGTTGAAGGAATGGCATGTCACTTTGAACAGGACATGACTCTTGTTCTTGTTAAATAGATTTTTTTTGGACATTGCTTCTCAAAAATGTGGATTTCCAAATCAAGCAATGCCGACAAAGTGATCTTGCCAAAACCCCGAGACACAATATTCAGCTATACATCCCCTTGCCTGTACCATAATTATTGCGAGCTAAAGTAGACATGAACTTCATTGTCAACCTCCTTATCACACAGTGCACAAAGATTCGATCATGGTGATAGCAAAACAATTTCTAAAATGACACATTACCTTGTTAAAGATTCACAATGCCACGCAGATTGTTGAAATCTATTTCCATGAAATCGCTCAACTTCACGGCATTCCCTGAACTAT